TTAAAAAAAAAAAATTTTTTTTTAAATTGATGTTTTCGACATTTTTTAATTCACAAAATTATTTAATAATTACTAAACATGGAAACTTAAAATTAATTGAAAATAATCTGATAAATGTGATTTTTATTTTTTTATTATTTAATCTGCCATTATTGATCACATGACCTGATGAATTTATATTTTAGAAACGATTTAATTTTTAGAAGACAAATTATTTAGAACAAAAATAACTGATTTTCAAAGAAACTGTACATGTCTAATCTTATTTTGAAGGTAGTTACATTGAAATTTTTTGAAACATAGAACTAAAATTAATTATAAGTTGCCAATCAACACAGCTTCAGCTGAAATAAAAAAGTTGAATAGTAGACAATTAAATTATCATCTACTACTCTTATACGTCTACTACTACTTATTAAATTAACTAAATTATTTAGCCATATCTGCTCCCCGGGCCCCTTAGTTCCAGGGTCAGACTACCAATAAAGGGGCCAGGGGGAGACATAGATGAAGCCCTTATAGATAACAAAAAATTCAGCAAAAATACATTAAACCCTTAATCACATAGTTTTTTCTTTTAAAGGGTATAGGAAAATAAAAATTGATGCATATTTATAATAATTAGTTATTATTAATTTGTATTTTTGTGTGTTTTATTTGTGTATCTTGATTTATGGAGAGGCTCAGGACCTTCAGATATAACAGGGGCCAAGGGGGGAGAGGAGAAATACCTCCAACCTCCTTCACCAGTCTGACCCTGATTTGTACTATTTGTTGTTCACAGTGGCCCTCAACAAATTCAAGATCGATAAAAATTAGAGGTGTACCAGATATTTTTATCAAGAAAAAACAAATCTTGCCATTCCACATTAAGTAGTGTTCAAGATCTAAAAAAATAAAATCAAGAAAAAACTGGTATAACACAGGTATATGCATTAATAATGAATAAGGAAAAATCGTTTTTACAGCCAAATTTTTGTTTTTTTAATTACTATTTTCTATACTTCGTCAGCACATATACCATGTCTTAGAGTTTTTCTCTTGATTTTTTAAAGTAAGATCTTGAATACTATATATTTTAGACTGGACAAGACTTGTTTTTTCCTCATAAACACTTATAGAAAGTTCAATATTTGGCATATCCGACAAAAATATTTGGCACACCTCTAATAAAAATGTCAACGAAAACTGCTTCTAGATTCTTTAAGAACTTTTTTTTCACATCACAAATCTGTTGAAGTTAAAATCCTAGCTGCTTGTCCAAGATTTTCAAATCGACTACTTTTTCCTAAAAATGTTATCGTTCGGTTTAACTACTTGATAGGATAACTAGGTCATTTGTGTATATTTATGGTTTTTAATTAAAATAATTTTGTATTACTAAATAGCTAATAACTCTTTTAAACTACATTAATAAAATTTTGAGCTTTTATCAAGTAATTATAAACGGAAATGACAACAAATGTAAGAAGTAATAACTATGATATTATTTATACATATAAAGATAAAGTCTTTATCTTTGACATCTTTATTTTTTAGAAAAATATGAACTAAATCTTTAAAAATAAGTATGGAGTATTATACTTAAGATATGCCCAACAAACCAGCAAATCATGATGAATCTAGAGTAAAAGTGTGTGCACTACCAAAAAAAAAGTCTCAGCAGTTTGCAATCACAGAAAAGATAGTTGAGCAAATTAAAATGTATATAAATTTAGATTTTGACATAGCAAACAGCAAATATCCTCTTAGTATACGTGGTACCTGCAGAATAACACTGAACAAGTGAGACAGATATTGAAAATAGAAAATTGCCTAAAATGCCAAACTATGAAGACATATTATTTATAAAAGAAATTAAAACTAGAGGCAATGCAATTGCTATATATTCATCACAGCAAGGTATACTGGTCATCAACCCGTCTTTAGAGGAAGAGGTTATAAAAGAAGATTGACTTCTAACATTACTGAACACAGTGGTTTACTCGCTGCAGCCGGAATTAGAAAGGTTTCTTTAAAACCTTGATCAGGTAAATATTAAAAGCTTTGACATAATTTGTATATAAATATAATAATAAACAAAGAGAGTGATATTTCTATTCAAAATTTAATGGTAATGAAGGTGCAAGTTCAATAATCATTTGTTCGTATTGCAAATCAGAAATTGGAAAAAGACTGTCCCATTATTTCAAGCAAACAAAATCAGCAGAAAATATTGAAAAAATTTTAAACAAAACCTTACCATGAAAAGAAAAAGACCAGTTAATAAATTCATTCCTTAAAACTAAGGCAAATAATCAAAAAGATTCAAGTAAAATAAATGTTTGCTTAGAACTTTATTCAAAAGGCAGATACAAATCACAAATTGTTTTAAAACCTGATAGTCAAAAATGTCAACTTTTCAAGCAAAGGCTTGAATAACTTTCAGGTAAATAATGGAGTATCTTCAAATGAGATGGAGAAATTTACTAATTTTATTAGATCCATTATAGGTAAAAAGGCTGTTCCTGCCTATCACAGAGAGCAGGCATCAGAAAAATCTAAACCTTTGAAAATTTTATATCGAGATTAATGAAAAAGTATACATAAGGTATCATTGTGTTTTATATTTACATTAAAATTTATTTTGTAATAAGTAATATAATTTTTAGTAGTAAATCTGCTTAATTTAGGTAATGGCTAACAGAGGCCAGGTAATGGCTAACAGAGGCCAGGGCTTTCTAAAAATCTGTGCAAAAATTTTACCAGAAAGTTATCACTCAGAGATAAATTGTGAATTAAACTGAGAATAAAACTGAAGAGTTCAAAATGTTGGAGGAACTAAATCTTCCTAACAAAAAAAGACTTTGTATTCTGAAGGGGGTACAGCTACCAAAAAAGGAAAGTTAACAGGAGTTCACAGATTAATAATGCTCAAATTAAATAATCTTATGAAAACATGCAATATAATTAAGTAGATTTTGCTATGTTAAATTACAGTCACTCCGAGGACTAACACAGGATGAAGAAAATATATGTGATGTAAACTGCAATTTAGGTATTTCTTTGAAATCTTTGAACAATAGATGTGCAGGTTTGCGAACATATGGTAATCTGAGAAAATGCTACGACAGGTAAAACTAAACAACATGTTTTAAATAGTTTTGTTATGAATGTATCACTTGTTTAATAATAAACATTTAACATATGTTTAATATACATTTTATTGGGTTTCAGCTATAAGGAAAAAAAAAAAAAAGAGATGCTTCAAACACTATGAGCACATTGAACCTTCCGCTTTTTAACGAACCAGATTCTATGTTAGTTATAGTAAATGCCTTCTTCCTGAATTACATTTAATACAAGGATTCATCAATCATGTCTTTTAGGCAGAGAAAAAGGCATGAAATGGTCCTTAAAGTTAAAGCAGAATTCAAAAAGTTACCAGGTGAGAATTTGATAAAAAATTTAGAGACAGTTTTTACTAATTAACATCAAAACTAATTCGTAATTTTTGTCTAGGGTGAAGTTTTTGAAGGCAATGCATGTCATAAACTATTTCAACATGCAAGTAAACTTCTTGAAGCTGATGTCCTTGGTAAAGTTAGCCCGTTATTGTTGTTGCCATTAGTTTAATTGCTAAATACAATGAACAATGTTGTCAAATATTGTTTTGGAACTGGAAAGGTTTCTCACAATTTATCCCATTACTTTTCTAGCAACAGATTTATCTGAAACTCTAAAAATACACGTCAGTATCTGAACAAGCGAGAGAGTCAATCTTTAGGGAATTTTTGAAGTATTGGTCACAATATCAAATTAATATAATCACCAGTGTATCGTATGGGGAGCGCTTGATGAAAGCTGTTGTGGAATTTAGTTCTAGACATTTATAACGCCACTATTTTCCATTTATTTTAGTTTTACCTGTTTAAATCCTGTTTTTATTAACATTATTAATAAAAATATTGATTAAAACAATTTGTAACTTTTTTTGATTTTAATTCACTTACCAATTGCTCCAACTGGATTTATAGTATGCAAAGGTGTGTTTTTATTGCGTATTTATAATAACTTTTAAAAATATTGCAGATAACTGAAGTAATTTATGACTAATAACATTTTTATAACTCACAGTTTTTTCTATTACCATATGCCAGATGAAAAAATATGTTTTGAAATAATGACTAAATTAAAAGTAAGTTAAACATCATGGACGAGTAGTAAGGATTTTAATTTCAACAGATTTGTGATCTACAAAAACAGCTCTAAACATTTTTATTGATCTTGAATTTGTTGAGGGCCAGTGTGTAATGCACAAGAAACACTTGAAATATAAAATGATAAAAATAACGACAGCAAAACATAAAAAGAATATTCTATATTTGTTAAAAGCTTATTTTTAATAATAATTTTTAAAAAGTTGAACTGTTTTTTTCAGAATATATTTATATTATTGTTTCATATTTAAATCTTTTTTATTTCAAACTTACTCCAAATTTTGTCGTTCAGGGAGTTTCAAGTGCCTTTTTTTATTGTATTTAATATGAAACTTATCTCCAACAGTAGTGTAGCCTCAGGTTTATGCCTGGTCACCATTCATGTGACTAAAATATTTTACTTCAGTCTTACTACAATTGCCTGTTATGATATGGTAACACAGTATTTAGAATTTTGTGTAACTTGAATAAAATAAATGATTATTTTGTCCATCATTTGTTCCTACGCCATTTTTTATTTTTCTTAATAACATATTCAATCTGATTTCAACATAATTCTTATATTCAGGTTTCAAAATAAGAATTTTTTTTCTATTTTGAAATAATTCCCAGCTCTAGTTTTTAAAAAAGTTCCTAGATTTTTTGCTTCAAAATATTTTACAGAATAAAATTTTGAAACATGTCCTAAAAAAGAATTTTCAATACATATTTTTCTGTACTTTCATTTTTAATGACAATTCTTTTCTTTAATTTCAAAAAAAGTAATGCTACTAAAAAATAATTGTAAAACATAATACTTACTTGTTTTCTGCTATAATTTTCTAAAGAGAAAGAATCTGATAATGTTATAATTTCATCATTTGTATCATCCGGTGGTGAGGTTATCAAGTCAGACACTGTGTGAAGAAATTTTGATATTCCTATAAATAACAGATAAGAATATATATATATATATATATATATATATATATATATATATATATATATATATATATATATATATATATATATATATATATATATATATAATATATATATATATATATATATATATATATATATATATATATATATATATATATATTATATATATATATATATATATATATATATATATATATATATATATATATATATATATATATATATATATATATATATATATATATATATATATATTAATGAGTTAATATATGCACATCGTAATATATATATGCAACTACACTGAACCTCACCAAATTTATTTAATTTAGTTCAGAAACCATATAATATAATTTAATATATAATTCAATTTAAGATTAAATTTATAGTTAACTATAGAAATCAGTATAAAAAGCTATAATAGTTATGACAACAACAAGCTTAGTAGGTTTAATTAAAATAATTTTTACCTTTTTTGACAACTGCAGATGTTGAAGGTTGCTCCTTAAAAATAATTTAAGTTTAAAATACTTATCAAAAAATCTATTTTACAAATACGATCATAAAAATGTCTAAACTTTAAAATAAAAAAATTAAATAAATCCCTACCTTTATAGCATTTGGTGTATTCAGAAAAGAAAATAAAACAAAGAATAATGAAAAAAAAAAGATTTCTGCCCCATGCCAAACCTTTACTCACTAGTGACAGCAGCATAAATGTATATATATATATATATATATATATATATATATATATATATATATATATATATATATATATATATATATATATATATATATATATATATATATATATATATATATATATATATATATATATATACATATATATATATAGCTCTATGTGAATTTTGATTTTCAAATTATGATTTTGCTTATGAAGCTAAATGTATACTGCGCAACTCTTGCATAAAAAAAAAAAGTTCAAGATGTGATCATCCACATGATAACCATCAATAATATAATTATCAAAATACAAAAGTATATAAAATGTCTTTTGCCAAAGATCTGAAAACACAAAATATTGGTTGAATTTTTAGCAAAATATGACATGTCTTTAAGAAGGATTACAAAATCTGATGCAATTGACAAGTTTATTTTAAAGCAGGGTTTCATTATTCCAAAAAGTCTGGAGTTACGAATATTTCTTAAATACTTGTAACTCCATATTGCGAAATCATTTTTTCAAACAAGAAAATAAAAATAAATGCTAAATCTTGACATCAAACACAGTGTTACTTGCTGCTTACCATAATTGAAAGGTTAGTAAATTTGAAACTGCGTATTTAAAAAGCACTTTTAGAAATTGGAAAAAATAGTTTTTATAATGGAGTAGATTTTACAATTTTAAAAAACATTTTGCTTGGTAAGTGTTAAAACCTATTGAATCTGCATTTAATGAATTAATTTGGAAAAATTCAAAAACTTTAATCATTGATGCTGTTTTTATTCGAAAATCTTTATGAATAAAAGTGTAGTGGTGCAAGATTCAAAGCGCGAAATCATAGTTATAGACTTAACTTGTGTGGAGGAATTTTGCATACCAAATTTTTAATAATTTTATTATGAAAATTTGGTGAACTTGAAAACTGTGCTGAATATAACTTTTTGTTGTTGTTTTTACGTTAACCCTGGATCATTCTAATTTGATTTTTTTTAAAGTATTTAAAAGAAAATGGCTAAAATTGTAGGTCTCTAGAAAGCATTTAAACAATGTTATAACAACTAGAAAATCTAACAATTTCAAATTGTATTTTGAGGTATCAATTTATACTTATTGCTTTTGTCATTACTATTACAAAAAGTGTTTAGCAAGATGATGTTTGATTCTCCAGGTTTCCTGATGGACTTTAGAGAGACACCAAGCAGATACTTGTGTCTGTGCAAGCACAAAATCAAGTTAAAGTACAGTTATATCAAACAAACTTATTCAAGTAATGTAAATATAAACTTTTAAATTTTTTCATGATTTTTTTTTTTTTGATAAGTCAATGTTATAAATATTCTTTTTTTTTTAAAAAAGGTTTATTCATAGAAATTTATTTTAAAAATTATAAACATAATATAAAAAAAAAAGATTACTCTTACCTGATTTAAATTGTTATCAAGTTTTGAAGCAGTTTCTGATATTGCAACGAGTGTATCACCTTGAATGACATCAACAAACTCACTTAGGTCTTTTTTAACCATTTGTAATGTCATTGCAGACTGTAAAAAGAAAATATAATACTATGTGTACTATAATTTTTGAATGTTTTAATTTCAGATATACAAAATGTTTTGGATTTTTAAATATATTTAAACTTCAATATATCTTGAGAAGAAAAAAACTAATGAAAATATAAAGCAGTTAAAATAATTTGGTCTTTGTTTTCAATTTCTCTAATATACTTTGTTAATGCTAACCATTAGAATATGTTTTACAGGCTATTGCCTGCTGCTTTTGTTGTTGCTAGGTGTTGTTGTTAAATAAATTATTTTCTATGTTTGTCTTGTAAAAACAATTGTTTCTTTTTTTCTGTTAAAGGAATAAATATATCTTTTATAACTGAAGGTTAAACTTGGTATTTAAATGTGCATGTATATAAACTTGGTATTTAAATGTGCATGTATATAAACTTGTTGATTAAATGTGCATGTATAAAAACTGTGCATGTACAAATATTTATATTTCAGGCATAAATAAAAATATTTTCTGAATTATACAGAAAATTTTATTTTTAAATTATATTGTAAAAATAAAATAATAAGAAAATAACATTAGATATTTTATTTCAAATGAGAACAGCTAGTTTGACAGAACTTTCAATACCGCCTCATAATTTTGCTCACTATATACATTCACAATATTACAGAACTTTCAATACCGCCTCATAATTTTGCTCACTATATACATTCACAAAATTACAAATTTAACATCCCAATAACACATTGCAATATTGCAATTTTAAGATTCTAATTATAAATTGCAATAACATATTTCAATATCAGTAATTTAACATCAAAAATATGAAAATTAGTTTTCTAATGTTATTTTATAATAAAATAATAAAACAAAATATTTTAATTTAATTTTTTAAGAGAGTTTTTTCTAATTGACGACTTTGATAAAAAAAACTTCTAAAAAAATAAAAGTCAAAAAATATTTTTAGCAAACAAATATATTTAGATAACCCTTAAATATATTTATATATTATATAATTATATTAATGAAATATATTAAACTTTTATCATTATTAAAAAAGTTCACTTATTTAAAGTTTAATTCACGATTTTGAAATTTTTAATTGCAAATGAATTATTTTAACATGGTGCATTTGAGATTTTTTTTTTTTTTGGTAATTGGTTCACATACACTAAAGTCACAATTTTTTGTGGCGCTTTGCACTTAATTTGTAGGTGAATGAAGTTATAGTATTTTAAAACTTCACTGATTGAAGAAAAAGAGTACTTAATATTTGAAAATCAAAATATAATTAACTTGTTGACTCTTAATAATATTAGTGTTGAGTTTTATTATTTTATTCAATACTTTGCTTATTTTAGATTTCAACAGTATGCATAATTTCAAAACTTTTGTTTTGCAAACAAACTAATTTAGCAGATTTCAAATGAAACATCATTTGTTACGCAGAAATTTTGTTATTTACTTATAAATGACCAAAATTACATTCAATGTAATTTTGGTCATATAAATTACCAATGTAATTTTGGTTATAAATGACCAAAATTACATTCAATGTAATTTTGGTCATAAGTAAATAACAAAATTTATGCGTAACAAATGATGTTTCATTTGAAATCTGCTGAAATAGTTTGTTTGAAAAACAAAAGTTTTGAAATTATGCATACTGTTGAAATCTAAAATAAGCTAAGTATTGAATAAAATAATAAAACTCAACACTAATATTATTAAGAGTCAACAAGTTAATTATATTTTGATTTTCAAGTATTAAGTACTTTTTTTCTTCAATCAGTGAAATTTTAAGCAAGTCGCAATGATTGTGACTGAACTTCGGCGATTTTACAGTAAAAATGCATGCCTTTTGTCCTAAAAGTGTTAAAAAAAATTAATTGTTCTAAAACAAAAACGCAACTTCATAAAATGAAATGCTTTTTTATTTTTTAAAAAAGAATAAAAAAATTCAGAATGTTTTTATTTTTTACCTTTTTATTGCTTACATACATTGACTGAAAATAGGTAGAATATGCGAGGAGTGCTGCTACACCAACTTAACTTATTGTTTTTGTAAATAGATAAGTAAAAAAAAAATGAAACATATAATTAAATAAAAATAAGAAAATTAATAATAAAAAATACATTTTTATAACAAATACTAAATTTAAATATGTATAAATAAAAATAGACATAAAATAAAAATATATAAAAAAATTATATATGCAAAGAATGGTCAAAAAAAAAAAAATCTCATAATAATATAAAGTTTTTCCTATTTCTTAAATTTTTTTATTGCGGCTTCGCAACTACAAATGATTTTTTAATTTAAAAAAATTAGCAAATAATTAATATATAAAAATTACTTTAATTTATAAAATTTAAATATTAAACAATTTTAAGAAATATTTTTAAATAAATTTGACAGTAAAGTTAAACCCAAGCATTAACTTTAATTTTATTAAACTTAAATATATTTTTCAAATCAAAATTAAATTATATATATTTTTTATCAGAATAAAATTATATTTTTATCAAACTAGCTTTAAATTAAATAATATATTTTTTTATCAGAATCAAATTACATTTTTATGATCTTTGCTTCAAGGTTAGAGTATTTGCATTTTTCAAGCGAAAAAAACAATTATTGCAATAAAATAAAAACAAAATATAAATAAATTTTTAATGTCAAGGTCTTCCTTATAGAAGGCCTTGACAAAAGAGCTTTTAAAGGCCAATTAAAAAAAAAGACGGCTTTAAGTTTATTAGTAATGAGGCAATTGTTTGGACTATTGAACAGTGTACTGACTACAATCTGTGCTTTGAGACAAGTTCTTTAAAAAACTTAAAAATGATTAAAGTACCAAAAACCATAAAACACAAAAAAGATTGTCATTACCAAGTTCTCTAAACCTATCATTCACTAATAATAATGGTCTTAAACTAACTTTTTTTCTGTTGAGTCTTATATCTTGCAAAGTTCACCAAACCTACTTGCTCTTTGTAAGACTAATTTGAGTTCAGCTGTCTCATCTTGTGATCTTAGTGTTGATGGTTGTTATCTTCCTTTAATTCATAAAAACTCCAATAGCCACATGCTTGGGCATTTACATTCGTGAGATTTCACCCATTTGTCAGGAAACTAGGTTTAAATCCATAGACTATTCTTTAATGTGCTTTGTTTAGCACCACTTTACTTTATCGTCTTTCTCTTTGTTCTATATTGCTCTCCTTCATCTCAAGACTGATCTCTTTTCAATGTCATTTCTGATCAAATTGACCAAACCTTTCTCTTTATCTTTCAGCCAATATTGTTGTTGTTGGAGACTTTAATGCACATCACACTGACTGGCTTGGCTCTACCTGTGTCGGTGACTCTGCAGGCAAGGTTCACAACTTTGCCTTTCTCAATCTTTAACTCAAATAGCCAATTTTCCTACTTGCTTTCTAGACAATCTGAATCATTCAACTTCTCTACTCGATTTATGTCTTGTTTCTGATCCTAGTCAGGGTTCAGTTTCTCCACATTCACCCTTAGGTGCTTCTAACCACTGTTTGATCACTCTAAAACTATTATCTCATTCTTCTTTATCAGAATTCTTTTATCATTGTACTTCTTACAACTACTTTAAAGTTGACTAAGACTCTTTCCGTGATTTACTTAGTGATGGCCCTTATGTAGAAATCTTTTGTTTTCCTTCTGAAAAATGTGCATTTTAGACATTTTAGGATTAAGGCTGGCATGGAATCTTTTAGTCCCTCTCCACAATTCCAAGTCAAGCCTCACTCCTCTCCATGGTTTTACTCACATTGCGTTGCTGCAATTTCTAATCGTAACCATTACTTTAATATCTATCAGTAAAACAATTCTCCAGAAAATAGACATCTGTTTACTATTGCTAGAAACTATTGTAAAAAAGTTTTGTCTATTGCCAAAGCCGGCTCTACTCAGGTCACGAAATCTGGTATTTCATCTCAAAAATTAGGCTCTCGTGACTTCTGGACAATCTTTAACAGTATTTATAATAAGGGCAAATCTGTTGTTTTACCTCTTTCATATGGTTCAGATTTTGCCACCTCACCTAAAGACAAAACTGAATTGTTTGCTAAGAACTTTTCAACGATATCATCTTTTGATTCCACTAGTTGCATTCTACCTGATATAGCCAACAAACAAGTTGATCCATTGCTTGACATTCATATCACTCCAGCTTCTGTATCTAAAGTGATTTCCTACTTATACTTTTCTATAGCTTGCGGTCCCAACAATATACCTGTTATAGTCTTGCAGAAGGGTTCTCCAGAGCTGTAATCGATACTTTCATAACTATTTAACAAGTTTTTTTTTTTTTTTTTTTTTTTTTTTTTTTTTTTTTTTTTTTTTTAACATCTTCACTTCCAACAAGGCTGCAAGCAACCACTATAAGAGTTGGAAGTTACTGGAAGAGAAAAGACTAAATCTGTAGAGCAAGATAACGATTGACTGATGACTTAAAAGATTGCAAATTATATGAATCAGGAAAGCAAGATGAAGGAAGCGAATTCCAAAGAACTGATGTTCGAGGAAAAAAACTAGAAGAATAAGAGTTTTTGAAGCACTTAGGAACAGTCACAGAAAAAGAATGAGACTTAATTGAATGGCGAGTAACACGAGAATGAATTTTAGTAGATGGCACAAGGGACGCTAGCTCCTTAGAGCAGTGCCCATTGTAGTATTTGTAGAAAAGAGAAAGAGAAGCAACATTACGACGATGTGACAAAGGTTGGAGATTGGCTGCCAGAGCAGGTCCAACTATGTTTACAATTCGTTTTTGCACCTTGTCTAAAAGAGAAAGAGCATCACTAGAAGATCCGCTCCAGATGTGGCAACAGTATTCCATACAGGGACGGATTTGAGATTTATAGAGATAGAGAATAGAATCTGGAGTAAGAAAGTGTCGAGCTCAATAAAGAGATGCAACCTTAGCAGATGCTAATTTTGCAATGGATTTGATATACGGTTTAAAAGAAAGATCAGAAGTAAGAGTTAATC